GAATGCCTTGATCAGTTGTTCTAGAGAAGGATACGTCCCTCTAGGCAATTGACTCAAGAGGGCCTTGTTCCTTTAGTCGAGACTCAAGGTCTAGTCAAGGATTCTCCGCATTGTGAATGAAAGTGAAACAAGTTAGAAATCATCAATCGTTAGTCTGGCTAGTGGCTAGGGGGAATCATACCTAAGTGAGTTCCCAAACTGTAATTAGATTAACTTTAACTGTAGTTTGCTAGAGTAGTTTTAGTTCTTTCATCTTAATCTGATTTGCTAAATAATAAACTGAAGCTGAGTAATAGTAACTCTAGAGACCCGTGGATTCGATATTTATCACTTGAGCCACTATACTGCAGTCCCTTCCATTGGTTACACTTGGCCATTGTTAGGTGTTGTGTCATAGCGAGTCAAAGTACTGTGAGATTGTGGGTGACGATGTCTATCTTACGGTAAAGCAGATTATTGAGGAGGGAGTAATGCTCGAGGAGGTAAATTATACGGTCATTGCCTTGATACCAAAAGTTAAGGAGCCGAGTATGCCTAAAGAGTTTCGCCCCATTTCGTTGTGCAATGTGATCTACAAGCTGGTCTCGAAGGTTCTGGCTAATCGGTTGAAGAACTTGCTGAACAAAGTTGTCTCGCCGGCCCAGTCAGATTTTGTTCCGGGACGGTGTATCACAGAAAATATCATGGCTGCCTTCGAGTGCTTCCATACGATGAGTAAGCGAACTAAGGGTAAGACAGGGTTCCTAGCTGCAAAAATTGACATGGCGAAGGCTTATGACAGGGTGGAGTCGTTATGAAGCGGATGGGTTTTGCCGATCAGTGGGTTAAGATTATCATGATGTGTGTGACTACGGTATCCTACTCTGTTCTTATGAATGGGCATAAATCAGAGGTTTTTACTCCGGGTAGAGGAATACGACAGGGGGACCCGCTCTTGCCTTATCTGTTCCTACTGTGCGCGGAAGGGTTATCTGCTTACACCTCACTAGCAGTTGAGCAGGACGACTTCATGGCTTTCGTCCTGTCCAGGGAGCTCCGATCATTTCAAATTTGTTCTTTGCCGATGACAGTATCTTTTCCGCTAGAGCTACCATCTCGACGAGTTTGGCTTTGAAGGGAATTCTTCTAGACTATGAAAAAGAGTCGGGACAGCAGGTGAGTTTTCAAAAATCGGATGTGTCTTTCAGCAAGAATGTATCACCCCATAAGAAGTGGGAAATTGGTGGAATTCTAGGCATGAAGTTTGTGGAGAAGCATCACAAGTATCTCGGACTGGCAGCAGAGGCTGGCCGATCCAAAAAAGAACTGTTTGCAAACATTGTGGAGCGAATAAGGAATAAATTGAAGGGATGGAAGGAAAAAACTCTTTTTGTGGCAGCAAGAGAAGTGTTAATCAAATCCGTGGCGGAAGCTCAACTTAACTACGCGATGTCGGTATTCAAAGTTCCAGAAGGGGTGATCGATGAGGTACAAAGCTTGATAACGCGGTTTTGGTGGGGCCAACGTGGGGAGGAGCGCAAAGCGCATTGGATCAGGCGAGAGAGACTTGTAATCCTGAAAGATATGGGTGGAATGGGGATTAGAGATTTACGAGGTTTCAATATGGCTTTCCTGGCGAAGCAACTGTGGCGGCTCCTCAAGCAGCCAGAGTCTCTCGTAGCTCGAATTTTTCGAGCAAAATATCATAAACACACTTCTATTTTGGATGCAGAGCTGGGGTACAGGCCAAGTTTCGTTTGGCGTAGTTTACTGAGCGCACAAGAGTTCCTAAGGGTTGGTCTGAGATGGCGGATTGGTGATGGAAGTCAGGTTCGAATTTGGGGAGATAAATGGATACCGTCCCTGTCAAGGCATTTTGTGGAGTCGGGTCCGATGAGACTCCCTGTTGATGCAATGGTGAGTGATCTCCTTGATGCGGAAGAGGATGCGTGGGACATAAACATACTAGAGATCTGTTTCCCGTCCGAAGTTGTCCAAGCTATAAGGGAGATCCCTGTTCGGCCAGGGGAGCGAGATGAACTGATATGGCAGCAATCTGTTGATGGGGAGTATTCGGTGAAGGAGGGGTACCGAGTTTGGCTGGAGCAGTACTTGTTGAGAAAGGGGTTGCAGCCTGCAAGGGTCGGATGAAGGAGGGTTTTGGAAACAGCTATGGGCCGCCAAAGGTGCACCATTTTTTGTGAAAATTCGCCCAAGATATCCTACCAACTGGGGATCGAGTCAGCGAGAAGAGTGAGAAGAGGTCCGATAAGTGTCCATTCTGTGATGCGTGCGAAACTCAACAACACGCCTTTGTGGAATGCTCCTGGGGTTTGAGAATTTGGAGGCAGTCAAGCTATGTTGATCTGTATGCACTACATGGGATGGGTTCGCCACTAGAGTGGTTGAAGAAGCCGGGGGATGAACGATTCGCCGAGTGGGGCGTGATGCTATGGTTTCTTTGGAAAGAGCGTAATGCTCATTTGTTTAATGGCATGAAGACGACGGAAGATGAGATCGTGGATAGGGCGAGGCACTTCCTGGAAGACTATCGCCAATATCAGGAGAGGAGCACACCACCTCAGCTGCCTCACGGCGAGAAGAAATGGTGCAAACCTTCAAGGGGACGAGCCATGGTGAACACCGACGCTGGGGTGCTACAAGACGGGGGGATCGGCCTTGGAGTGGTAATGTGGGACGAGAATGGGAAGTTTATCCTTGCAGCAGCAAAGATGGTACATGGGCAGTTCACACTGGAGATGGCTGAGGCGATGGCTTTGGAGATGGGAGCTCAGTTGGCGCAACAATTTAACGTCCAAAATCTAATCATGGCGACGGATTGTTTGCAGCTGGTGCGACTGTTGATAGAGCAATCTTGTTCTCGATCGGAACTGGGAGTGGTGTGCCGGAATATTCGACGGCTGGTGAAGGAGCAACGAGGAAGTTTCTCTCATGTGTACAGGGAAGAAAATGAAGCTGCTCATATCATGGCACATGCTCGCACTAGATGGGACGAGCGAATTGTTTGGCTGGATCGACCGCCTATTTACTTAGTTGATCGGATTAAGCTGGATGATGTAGCAGCCAATTTCGATCAATGATTTGATTACAGGTTTCTGTAAAAAAAAAACTTTCAAGATTCTCGGCGGGGGGGCCGAGCCCTGCTGTAGCTCTGCCCCTGCTTTTACTAACATAATAATAACAATATCTTGTCCAGAGTTTGTACCCCCTGCGTTGACCCCTTTGTGAAGTTCAAGAGATCATCAACATAAACAAGATGGTTAGTAAGCCAAACAATATTTACCAATATTCCACAGTGGTCAGAAAGACCTGGTACATAGTAACACTTGGACATTACTTCTAGATAGGATTGTTAATGATCCGAGTCGAGTCAAACTTTGCCATAGTTCGGGCTCGGCTCGTTAATACATTTCCAGATTCGAGTTCGCGTCACGAGTTTTAATATACAAGTTCGAACTCGACTCGTTTATGAAAATGAAAGCTCGAGCTCGGCTCGCCAAATAAGATTAACGAGCCCAAAATCGAGTTCCGCACATAAAATGTTCATTATAAAAAAAATTCAAGTTAGGTAACTGGCATAAATAAAAAACGTTAAAAAATATGTTAGAATCAATGCAGACCGTCGATTACCAAAACACGGTACGTAACTGGTACAACAGGTCATCACTTGTTTGACCTTTTTATAACTGTTACGTAACATACACATCCTTACATCCATTAGGTAAAAGGTTACGAAACGCGATGATTGTCTCTTATTAATGGCTCAACACTTTACGTAACACAAAGTTAATTTTTCATAACGTAAAAGGATCTTCCATTACGTAAGGTTCCCGTCTAATGACACTTTACAACTTTTTACATAAAATGCACATCAATTACGTAAAGGTTACGTAACGATAGTAATTTTTACATAACACTCAAATCACCCAAACTCGCGTTATGCTGTGCATGATTTTCGTAATGTCTCATCACTTTACGTAACATAAGGTTAACATTTCATTATGTAAAAGGACCAGTTCATTTCTGTCAGGCTGCACGCGTAACCATAACGTAACGTCGATAGTATTTTATGTAACGCAATTGGAGCACTTCTGCTATGCTATATAGTATTAGTATTGGTGCTTTAATGTACAACTTTAGGTTGTACCATAACAATAAATGTATAAGTTTAGGTTGTACCATAAAAGAATTTGTACCATTATGTTATGGTACAACTTTACAACTTGAAGTTGTACAATCACATAAAGGTACAAGTTCAAGTTGTACCATAAAAGAATTTGCACAAAAAGTATAGGTACAATTTAAAGATGTACCATAACTTTAAAGGTACAATTTCAAGTTATACCATAAAGACAAAAACCTATAGCACCAATGCTATATAGCATTGTAAAATTCCTCAACGCAATTAACTACATGTGAAACCTGCGAGGAAATAACTCGTAAGTTAGCTTACGGAAATTCTTACCTAATTCCGGTTTATGTCAATATGACCCGCGACTGCATGCATGGAGTTTGATGACTGCAGCCTGATAGATGAAATTACATTTAAACACTCGAGGGCATCGAATAGGGTTTCAACCGAATTACAGCATGCTCTGTTTTTAACCGCCGGCCGAATTCATCATCATTCATCGTACGTGGTCCTCGAATTCATCATCGCCGCCGGTGGACCTTTTTTTATTTTTTTTAAATGAGACGGCTAAAGTCTTGGGAATCGTCGACGACCGTGGATTTGTGAAGGAAAACTACTCTGATAATTATGCAATTTCGAACATGACATGGATTCATGTAGTTTGTCGCGGGATATAAGGAGAAGACAGGACTGCAACTAGTGTGTTGTGTGCTGCGTATTGTCCTTTTTTTTTTTTTTTTCAAATGTCGTGACAAATATAACACAACAAAAATGGCTGCCGCTACAAATTCCTTCCCCACTCAATTAACAACAAAATTAAGATGAGAGCAACTATAAATCAAACAACTTTAAATCAAACGGAGACAACTAGAAAATGTTTTTTTTTTCTTGCCACACTATAGCCAGTTTGATCGGCAGGTTTGGGGACAACTTTTGCTAAACCGTTAGTTGGTTAACAAATATAATAGCCGATAATTGACTATATGATTACGGTTAAATAATTAATATAAATAATGTGATTAATGGTAACACAATTATTTTACGGTTAATGTGATCAACGTTATTGGGGAAGGGATGGTCGAGTTTTTGTGTCAGTTTTTGGTGCGAACATGTTCCTATTTCAATTTGAGAGTGTGGAGACGAGCACTTGTGTTTTTGAGAATGGTCCATGGCATTGTGGGAATGTGCCTCTCTTCATGAGAAAGTGGGTTCCAGGTATCCAGTCGATTAAGTTGGGTTGTTCTCGATTGCCGATTTGGGTGCGAATTAGGGAGCTACCATTGGAGTATATGACAGAAGAGGGCTTGAGTAGGTTGGCTAGTATGCTGGGTGCGCCATTTTGGATGGATCAGTTGACGAAACTGGGAACTCACATGGGGACGGCTAAGCTTTGCATTATGATGGCTGCGGATTCTTCGTTCCCAACGGAGCTTCGAATTCGCCCAGAAGGTGAAGCTGGTATCACATTATTTGTTCACTATCTACATGTTCCTCATAGATGTGAGAAGTGTGTTGAGTTTGGGCATCAGATTGGTGAGAGGGTTAAATGTGGGAAGTCTGTGGTTACGAGCGTGGAGACTGCTCTAGTCTCTGAGGAGGTGGTTGCTCCAGCTGTTTCTGGTGAAGGTTTGCTGGTTGGTGGGTCTAGTTCTCCAGCAGCATTGGGGGTGTCTACTCCTACAAGCACTCCTTCACTTGTGATTGGGAAGGTGGTGGTGAGTGAGGCTTCTGAGTCATCCTCTTTCTTAGTGGATGCAGATGGTTTTCAACTGGTTGGTAAGAAGGGTAAGGCTTTTCAAGTGAGTTATCCTGCACAGAGTAGTGGAATGTGTATCCCTGACTCTGCAGTTCAAGCTCGAGTATCTCTGAATGCGAAGGGGTATAATTTGGTTGTTCCTACTTCTCCCAAGAAAAAGGGAGGTAGGAAGATGAAGCCATGAAGTTGCTTTGTTGGAACCTTAGAGGATTTAATTCCTCTGAGAAACATAGGTATGTGAATAAAAAAGTTGGGCAGTTAGGAGTAGATTTTTTTGCCATTCTAGAATCTCGAGTATGGAAGGGTAATGCTGATGAAATAGTTACTAGGAAGTTTATTAGTTGGGGGTACTTAAATAACTATAAGTATTCCTATAATGGAAGAGTCTGGTTGTTTTGGAAACCGACAATGCAAGTAGCTGAGATTGGAATGGGTCAGCACTTCATTCAAGTGAGAGTGAAGTCTGGTGAGGAATCCTGTGTGGTCACTGCAGTTTATGGGCCTAACAAGACAACTGAGAGAGTTGATATGTATGAAGAGTTAAAAAGTGCATAGTGATTCAGGAGCCTGGTATTTTTCTTGGTGATTTTAATGCAATTGTTGAGGCGCCAGAAGCTTCGAATAATCCTGTATGTAATCAAAGTATGAGTGGTTTTCTTAAGTGGATCACATATATGAAGTTAAATGATCACAAAGTTGTTGGCTCTTGGTTCACGTGGTGGAATAAGCAGTCTAACAATCCAATTGCTAGAAGGATTGATCGTGCCTTGGTTAATGATGAGTGGCTGGGTGTTTTCAAGGATAGTTTGGTTAAAACTTTGTCCCCTGGAGTCTCGGATCACTGTGGTCTTTTTGTTCACACTGATCCATTGGTTGCCTCTTTGCCGAAGCCTTCTAAATTCTTTTCATTCTGGAGGCAGCATCCTCTGTATCAGAGTTTGTTGGAGGGTGTTTGGCAAATTTAAGTTGAGGGAGTTCCATATTTTCAATTGTATCAGCGGTTGAAAGCACTGAAGTTAAAGCTGAAGGGCTTAAATAGATCTTAGTATTCTGAGATTTCTTCACGGGTAAGGGAGGCTGAAGCTAAACTTGAGGCATTGCAGCAAGATGTGTTAGATTATCCTTCTGTTCAACACTCTAATGCAGTTTTGGTTGTAGAGACTTGCAGAAGGCTGAAGAGCAATTTTACAGACAGAAATCAAGAATTAGAAGAATTATTGAAGGGGACTCTAACACTAGATTTTTTCACAGTATGGTTAAAGTTAGAAATCATCGACAGACTATCAAAAAGTTGATTACTGATGAGGGATTAGTTCTCACTGAGGTAAAGGCTATGGGTCAGCTGGCTGTTGAGTTTTATAAGGGCTTGCTAGGTAGAGCAGATCCTCTGGTGCAGGACACTCCGCTATCTTTTTTGGAGGATATGCTCTCTCACAAGCTTGGAGAGGATGATGTTCATCTTTTGAACTCTACTGTTACAAGAGAAGAAATTAAGGCAGTTTTCATGGCTATGGGTAATGATAAGGCTCCAGGACCAGGTGGATACCCAGCTGAGTTTTTCAAACTGGACTGGAATATTGTGGGAAAAGCTGTTGAAGACACTGTGTTGGATTTCTTCAGAACTGGTATCATGCCTCGACAGGTAAACTCAACTATTATAGCTCTCATTCCTGAGCTAGAAGTGGTTGATAGAATGCAGAATTTTAGGCCAATATCGTGTTGCAATGTTGTTTATAAAGGAATCTCGAAACTGTTGGCAAATAGCCTCTCCCTAGTGTTAACAAAACTTATAGGGGCTAGTCAATCTGCATTTGTTAGAGGGAGACTTATTAGTGACAACATACTTATGGCAACAGAATTGGTTAAAGATTATCACAAGGCCAGTGTCTCCTCTAGATGTGTTTTGAAGATTGATTTGATGAAAGCATTTGATTCTGTGGATTGGAAATTCCTTCTGAAGGTTATGATTGCTATGAATATTCCACTAAGTTTCATCAAACTGATTGAAGCTTGTGTCACATCTCCTTTGTTGAGTGTGGCTTTCAATGGAGGACTTTGTGGTTATTTTCCAGCAGGCAAAGGGTTGAGGCAAGGGGATCCTCTCTCCCCTTACTTGTTAACTATTGCCATGGAGGTCTTTTCTTGTATGTTAGCTAGGGATGTGTCTCATGATTTCATTCTTTATCATCCACGATGTAAAGGTCTGGAAATCACTCATCTTTGCTTTGCGGACAATCTCCTGGTCTTTTCAAATGGTTCAATCAGAGCAGTTGCTGGGATTAAAAGGTTACTTGACAGGTTTATCAAGTTTCAGGGCTGAAATGCAATCTGGCCAAGTGTCAATTGTTATGTGCTGCCATTTCCAAGGAACAGCAGAAGTGGATATCGGATTATATAGGGTTCCCTTTGGGAGAACTGTCAGTAAGATACGTAAGAGTGCCTCTTTTATCTGGGAGACTGTCGGCTCAGGACTGCAGCATCTTGATGAGTAAAATAACTAAGAGGATCACATCTTGGCAAGCCAAAACACTCAGCTATGCTGGGAGAATACAATTGATATCTTCTGTTATCACTAGTGTTTTTCAATATTGGATGTCTGTTTTTCTGCTGTCATTGAGGGTCTTAAAGTCGATTAAAGAAGTATGTAATAAGTTTCTGTGGGGTGTTGGTTTGGAATGGGAGGAAAAAGGCACCGGTATCATGATGAAGAGTTGCTTTACTGAAAATAGAAGGAGGGTTGGGGATAAGAGACTTCAAGACATGGAATAAAGCTTGTGTTCTTCGGCATCCGTGGAACTTGCTTGCTGAAGCAGGGTCATTGTGGGTTGCCTGGATTCAGAAATATAGAGTTAAAGGGCGAGACAGTTGGACAATCCCTGCGAGCTCTGTTAGTTCGTGGGTGTGGAAGAAAATACTCAAGTGTAGAGAGGTTGCTCAGTCCCACATCACTGGGGCAGGTAAAACTCTTGCTTGGGATGTAAATTTATTAAACAAATATTCTCTTAAGCTGATTTGGTCTTCCATTCGTGTCCCATTCCCCTCTGTTGAGTGGTATTCTATATTGTGGGGTAAGCCTTTTATCCTAAAGCATAGCCTTTTGGTATGGTTGATAATATTGGATAGAATTACAACGAAAGACAAGCTTCAAGGATGGGGTTTAGCAGGTGATAGTTGTTGTGTCCTTTGTCCTGGTGGATTTGAAAGTCGAGATCATCTATTCACTATGTGTTCTTACAACACTGAGATTTTCCAGACTGTGCTAAGGAAGGTCTGCATGTGGCATTCCTTCCAAGACTGGTGTTCCCAGTTGGCTTGGGTGACGCAAAGATGGTCAGGTACAAGCTCGAAAGATAAGATTGGTTGAATGCTGTGGACGATGAGTTGTGCATATATTTGGCGCGAGCGATGTACTCACATTTATGGTGCAAGAAGAGTTTCGGATCCCATTCAAATCTCAGCTAAAGTAGTGCAGGAGCTCCAACTATGCTCAAGTAGTACAATTGCCTTACAGAAGATGGTTATGGAAGTGTTGGGTTTATAGAGCTTTTTGTTTTGTTGTTGGACTTGCTTCCTTGTTGGTATAGGTTTTTCTTTTGAGTGTAAAGAGGTGACACATTGAGAGGGAGGATGCGAGCTGCACCTCCCTAGGCTTCAATACAATTTTGATTAACCATAAAAAAAAATTAATATACATGTTTAGTGTATGTATACATGAGAATAACACTAATATTAATTAATATAATGATACTTGTTAACATACACATAATCAATTAATCACATTACAAATACAACCTAAAATATAAGATTGAATTAACTAATAGCTCCCCTTTAAAACAATGGACCAATTTTCAAGTTTCGATGATCTTTAGGATGTGCTCAATTTCTTTTGATCACAAACCATAAATACCAATATTCTTGCAATGAATAATGCGTTGAGTGACGATGGTATAAAACACACTTTCTCACCAACACAAGATTTTGATTTCGTGAAAATCTATTGTTTGAGACAGGATACTCTGACCTAATGCGCTCCTCCGTAGCGTTACTGTGATTCAACTAGGATGCCTAGATCCTGCACAAGGGGCTATATCGGTCTGTTAGCACTCCGATAATCAAGCTACTTGAGTTCAAGAGAAATAAGTAAATGAGAGAATTTAATCCCTTAAATGCCACCTACACTATTTATACTCATCGAGATTACGACACAATGACTATGCGCCCAGACCACGTGTCAGTCTTTTCTCTTTTCTGCGGGGCGCCGAGCAGGGACCATTCCCGCCATACTTCTTTGTCCGCATTCTTGATTGTTGTTATGCGCCCTTCTTTAGGACCCGTTATGGGCTCATTGTTGCCACTCGACCCATCAGTTCAGCCCAAGATAGCTTTCTCCTCTACTTGGGCCTGTACCTTGTTAGGCCCATTCATACTAACCCAACATCTGGAAAGTGGAAACTGGAAAGTCATGTGAGTCGAGATCAGCAATGGCTAATGATAAATTAACTCGCGAATCGCGATCAACCCTGGACTAAACCGACAGCAAAGTAAAATATAGGGACCAATTCGCAAAAGAAGTCGCATTTACGGATTTACCCTGCCGCGAACTGGAAAAGAAAAAAGAAAAACGAGGGAAGGGAAAAGAAAAAGAAATACAGAATTTCATCCGCAAGCAAGACAAAAAGAAAAAGGCACCAAAAATATAAAATAAAATAAATAAAAATAAAATAAACTGAACGGACTGTTTTAGAGAGAGAGAGAGAGAGAGAGGGAGGAAAGAGAGGTGAAGAAAGAGGAGAGAGAAGGGGGAAAAACAGAATGGGTAAGGCGGCAGCAACGGCGGAGACAATGACGAAGAAGCGGAAGAAAAAGGGACGGCCTTCCCTTCTCGACCTCCAAAAGCGAGCTATCAAGCAAGAATTGCAGCAGCAGCAGCTGCAGCAGAAGAATCACCAGAATCCTCCGCCCAAGAATCGCAATCAAAACCCTATTCGCCAAAACCCTAATTCCCGCCGATCCGCCCGCCGGAACCCTCATTCTGGGGGTGAAGATGACGACGGAGATGGAGATGGCGACGACGACGATGATGAGAGGAAGGAGAAGAAGCACAAGCTTCTGCTCGGCCTGAATTCCCAGAAGCAGCAGCAGCAATCGAATACCCTTTTCCGTTCCAATTCCTCTGCCTCTAATTCTTACGGGTCGGGTTCCGATAATCCCGAGGCCGGTGCGTTGGCCATCGTCAAGTACCGCCAGATCGGAGGTGTCCGCCCCGGATCCGATGAAACGGTGATTCAATCAACTCTCCAATTCCCGTCGATTGTTTGATTAATCAAAATTAGCCCTTGTTTTGGGCATTTCGCAATTGTGAATGTGGGAATTTTCGCGGGGAAATTTTCAATTTTGTGGGTTGCTGAATTCGGATGAGCGTGGAGGTTTTTGACTGGGTCAGGGGGTTTTCTCGATGGTTTAGTTCCTTTTTTTTTTAAATAAATAAATATCTCATCTCCTCTCTTTATCCTTTTGGAAATTCTCGGTTTTGTTCCCCCATTTGATTTCCTTTTTGTTTTGGGTTTAATAAATATATATATTCTTTTTCTTAGTGTTGTATGTATTGAATGAAGTTTCTGATCTCAAATAATGGAGTGGAATGGAATGAACGGTAAGAAAGGTTCAAAAGAAAAGAGTCCCCCCTTGTCTGAAAAATAAAGTTCATGTTTGTCCTTTCTCTAATTTGAGATGTTCAGTTCCTCTCAGTCATTTTAGCTTCTGTACTTTCTCCCACCCTTTTACTGTAACTTTGCTCAGAGCTTCTTCTTCCAAACCCAGAAGATGAGATGATATGCCAGTTCGGTAGCTACCTTGCTTTAATTTTAGTTTCTCTCTTTTCCCACTTTCCCTTTCTGCTTTTTCCAGGTTGGGATGGTGAGACTCTTGAAGGAAAGCTTTGCTATTACTATAGTTATACTGCGGCTATAATCTCTGTAAATTGAGTATTATATATAATGGAAGGTGTTGCTGGGTTTTCCCTTTTGCAGGGTGAAAAGTTTTGGAAAGCGACGGACACTCTTCATGGTATGGTTGGTTTCAATCAGTCTTCAACATCCATGGGAAAAAGGCGGTTTCTTGGATATATATTTATTATAATTTTGTGGGTTTTTTCTTCTTGGGAAGTCTGTATTTAGTAACTAATTGGTGAACTCATTCCCTTGCATTTATCTATCTGTACAGGGTTATCAGGGGAGGAGCCCGGTCCCACGACGACACCTTTGCCAGACAAAAAGTTGTTGGTCTTCATTCTTGACAGACTTCAAAAGTGGGTCTCTTGTTTATAAGCTTCTCAGAGGGATTTCCCCCCTTTCTCCCCGTTTGATTTTGTTCCAAACGTATCCTTTTGTTCTTTTTAACGCCATTCACTGCTGTTGGGTTCTTACTTCGTACTGGTATTTGTCTTTTGCAGAAAGGATACCTATGGAGTCTTCTCTGACCCTGTGGATACAGAGGAGGTTTGTTCAATGTTTGTAATACGTGTTGAATCTACCAAGATACTGCCACCCTTTGTTGTGCTGATGTCTTGTGGTCCATTGCTTTTGTAACAGCTTCCTGATTATCTTGATATCATTGACCATCCCATGGATTTTTCTACGGTGAGGACGAAGCTAGATGGCGGGGAGTACTCCAACTTGGAACAATTTGAGGTTTGTTCAAGAAACTCTGAACTCGATTCTTTCGTGTGATGAAGTAGACTTCTGATGAGTATGTATGTTGCTGAGATGACAGCTTGAATATACAGCCAGAGAAAGTTTGTCGTAGAGCAGGTTTCTGTAGGATCCGGAGAGGTGTTCTATAGATGTAAATTGGGTCCTTCTATTTTAAGAACCAACTTTGGATAGCCAACTATGTAGAAGAATATCACATCAACATGTTAATAGATACTTTTCTGTGGTTTTAGAAGAGAAGCATATTATACCAATCTATTTTGTAAATAGATATGCGTGAACTAAATGCTCCCAGTGGAATGTAAAGTTCGCGTAAAATTGCTTGTTTGAAGTAAGTTCACTTAATAGTGCCACTGCTGTTGGCGCAGCATAGCATAACATCTCCTATTTTGGAAATTTCAGAAGTAAAAGAATTTCAACATGAGTTTCAGCGTGGTTTGAATGGTTTCTTAATGGTATCTGTTTGTTAGTTTCATCCTAGTGGTGGTCATTCTGCTCTTGTAGCCAATGCGGTGAAGGTTAATTAACTATTCATTCACACCGAACATTGTTTGTAGAATTGTAACTTACTGGAGTTTGTCTTCATTTGCAGGGAGATATTTTCTTGATTTGTTCGAATGCCATGCAGTACAATTCTTCTGACACCGTTTACCATCGACAGGTCAACATCAATATAGTGCTATATCTTTCTTTCTATCCATGGTGGTTTAAGTTAGAATTGTCGGTAAAGTACTGTTACTGTCTCTCAGGCACGCTCCATACAAGAGCTGGCTAAGAAGGACTTTGAAAATCTGAGACAAGACAGTGATGATGGCGAACCAGAAGAACCCAAAATGGAGAAAGTAGTGAGGAGGGGCAGACCACCAGGGAAGTCAAAAAAGTCACTGGAGAAGCCTCCACTTGACCGCTTGGCAATTGAGTTCTCGTCCGATGCAACGCTTGCTACAGGCGGCGATAATTCTATCGGATTGAATGGTTACAATCTCAGAAAAACGACGCTGTTCAAGCAACCTTCTGATGCAGTTTTGAGAATCACGAATGGACCTCATAATGGTGAAACTCACGCTTGGCAGTCAGAATGGGAAAATGAGTTTCCAGGTTTTAGATCTTAAACTGACTAAATGAAATTTCCTCTTATGTTAGCCTTTAAAGAAAATTAAAGTCCTTTTTTTTTTGGTTAACTTGCAGCTTCTGTGGTTAAGGCTGTGATGAAACATTCAAAGAGAACAGATATAGTTGATGAGAACAGGCGTGATACATATAATCCTCCTTCCGCTTCTGCTCACAAGCCATCTGTCTTGAATTCGCTTGATGGAGAACTGAAGCAACTAGTGGCGGTATGTAGGAAAATAAAGTCTCCTTATTCTTGGTTTGGGAAGGAAGCTGATTTTGTTGTGTTTTTTAATGAATTTTTTTTATTTCAATGCTTTTTATACACGAAGGATTGCATTTTTCACATTCAACCTCGGTCATAGGTGGTCATAGTTTTCTCTGCTGAATTAGGTCTTACATTTTGCTTGCCTTTTGAAAACCTCATCAGGTGGGGCTGAGCGCAGAGTTCGGTTATGCAAGAAGCCTAGCTCAATATGCGGCAGGCCTTGGTCCAACGGCATGGAGTGTAGCTTCTAAGAAAATTCAGCATGTATTGCCAATGGGAGTCGAATTCGGTCCTGGGTGGGTAGGAGAAAACGATGTGGTCCAGAGTGGCCGTGTTTTATCCAATGACACTGCATCCGGTGATCCATCTAACAGTCATCGACCCCCCTCAACCAGCACAAATACAACACCAACCACAAATTTGCATCAGATGTCGAACAGAGAAGACATAGCAGCAAGAAGTGGAGCTGGACCAACAACTTCATTCGACAATGGCATTACTCCCACCATAAAGTCTATGGCACTGCCGCCAGTTCAACAGCAAATTCTAGGTGGCGGATCTTCATACAACTGCAGTACTTCTCAGGTTGGTGTGCTTCCAACGACACCCTACCGGCCATTTGGCGTGGTTCAAAGTTCGTCCACAAGTTTCAGTCAAATGCAACAGGGACATGCTTTCGATCCGAACAAGGGCAAGCAAGAAACTTTCGGCTCGGGTAAAGATTTGTCATCAGCTCCTGGCAGCATTAGACCAACAACCACAACAGGGTTTGCTGGGAGTACCGCTGGACCTCAGGGACTACCGCCAGCTCCGTCATACCATAATCAGCAGGAGCTCTTACAATTTTCGACAGACTTAAACGTTGGGTTCTTATCTCCAGGCTCGCCCAGTTCGTCTGGGGTTGTTCCGATTCGTTCCCCACAGCAGCCAGACTTGGCATTGCAGCTTTGAGGACTGATTGATTTAGAGAGGGTAGGGATGGCTTACTGGGTTATTGTTGTCTTTTTATTTTTCCTTGGGGTAATTTTGGGCTCCACCATAATTTAAGGTTTCTCTTCTGAACTGACTAATGTGTAGGGGGAAAGGAGGGAAATGGGAATGAATAATATGGGAGATATAGAGGGAGGGGATTTTGGTGAAAGGGGTCTGTATGTTGAGCAGAATTGAAGTTATATGGTGTAGGAGAGTGGGATTATGTATAGATTTGATGGAATTGTATTAAGACTTTTAATATGTTTAGGTTAAAAAAACCACAGATTAACAGTTCATTTGTGTTGCAGTGTTGCTCATTCTCTAATTCTCTCGTCGGGCTTATTTTGATTATGTTTGTAGTTATTCTGTGATTATGTCCAATTCTGTTCTGGCAGGGTAAAGGTAAGATTACAGGTGTGAATTAGGTGCTGGAAAATATATCCAAATCTCTTGCTAGTTGCTACACAGACATGGGTCGTTAGTTTCACTATTACATTATCAGTTGCTACACAGACATGGGTCGTTAGTTTCACTATTACAGTATCAGTTGTTTGAGACTCTCATTTCTCATTTTAACTTGTGATGTATTATGTTACTACTATGGACTTTTGTGGTTATTTTTTCCTTGTAATGTATTATGATACTATTATGGACTTCTATGGTTAATTATTCATTTCGTGGTGTATTATGATACTATTATGGACTATTTATCGTTTCGTAATGTATTATGGTACTATTATTGTCATGTATGATACTATTGACTAAAGTGGAAACTTGAACTATAAAAACAACAAACAACAACTACTACTTTTGATAAAAGTTCAAGTAACTATTTCAAACAATAACAACTACTACATCGTTCAAAAGTTCCAACAACTACGACATTCGATAAAAGTTCTAACAACAAATAAAAGTTCCACCAAACTACTAGCCAATTCTGTTGCCACTACTTCCTCTTCTACTACCTCTTGCATGTCATTGGCCACCACTTCCTCTTCGTTGGCTCCCACTGCCACTTGGTTGGCCACCACAAGTTGATGCATTATGTCCAGATTGGTTACAGTTCCTACACACTTGTTGAGCTACACCCTCTCTAGGACAATCCATCTCGTTGTGAATTCTTGTTGATCGTGGTCTCCCCGGATTCCTAATCATGTACACATTGGGATGGAGTGTAGAGCCATTGTGCTTCTTCCAACCCTTAGGTTCATCAAGAGGTGTGAAACTTGTCCCATAACAAGCCAATACTCTTTCAAGCTTGTAGATGTCATTTACAAACCTATACGGGTTAACACCCATTCGGTTGCAAACTGCAATGGCATGAGAGCAAGGAATTTTATGTCCTTGGAATTTTCCACACGTGCAAAACCCCACCCGATTGTTGTTGTCGAAGTGCACTGTGAGTATGTTTGAACCAGTCATGTTGGAATTATTGGGAGGAGTCCGAACTACATAGATGCCTTGACGTCGATCAACCCCCGTGACAGAATGTCCAACTGCCTTTTGTGCCCATCCTTTGATAAGATCTTCGCATGTCTTGGTGTACTGTGAATGACCACTTCTGATTTCTGCTTCTGTCTCCAACCTCATCTTATCGAATTTCTCCAATAATCGCCAATAAGTATGTTGCACAAGAGAAGCTACAGGAAGTGAACGAATACCTTTGAAAACACTATTGATGCTCTCTGACATGTTGGATGTCATGATAGACCATCGACGCCCACCATTATGGTTATCACATGCTAAGCTCCAACGGATTTGATTTTGGTCCACCCAGTTACTGCATGCGACATTTCTATCAACGGCCATCTTCTTAAATTGCTCAACTTGACGATCGAACTTCTCCAAACGTTTTTCTTTGGCTAACATAATAAATAACCACACGAGTTAGATATATTCATGACAAAATTAAATGACAATAAATAACTATAACAATGAAGGCTTACCGACTCGAACAAGTTGATTATACATAATCTTGCTTTTAGTCTTTCTTTGCAAGTTGCTTGCATAGTGTCGCATGCACCACCTCCACTCCCAAGCTCTTCCGATGTCACTCATATCTTCACAGAGTCTCGCATGTCTATTTGAGATAATGCATACATCATTTCGATCGGTCAAATCTTGAAGGCGTCTTATGAACCATGACCAACTATCAGTATTCTCACTCTCCACTATGGCAAATGCAATTGGAAAAATCTTCTTCCGACCATCAAATGAGCATGCCATGAGTAGCACTCCTTTATACTTTCCAGTAAGAAATGTTCCATCAACAACCATGACTCCTGGACAATTTTTGAATCCATCTATACAAGGTCCAAATGCCCAAAATACTCGGAGAAAGATCATATGACCTAGCTGTGATGAAGGAATTCTTACCCAATCAATCACTGATGTTGGCATTTTTCTCTTTACCACCTGCAAGAAAGTTTGCAAATAATCGTAGGATTCTTCCCAATTTCCATGCAACTTCTCTAATGCTTTTTGTTTCTCATACCAAGCCTTCTTGTAAGTAACTTCCATATGAAACTTATCTTTCAACTCAGCTTGCATAGTTAGAACACTCAGATTTGGTTGGGCACGTACCAAATGTTTCACGGACTCAGATATAACGTCGACATCAAGATGGCGACGATCCGTCGGTTGAGTCGTACTGCTACAAGAATGCATCAAATTGGACTTTCTCACAATCCATTCGCTTCCAACATCTTGACATCCAAACCGCACCATCCAAGCACAATTTTCATCCTTGTGCTTCAAACATTTGACCTTCCAGATTGAAGGTAATGACTCCACCACGACATACTGAAAGTTGCGTTCTTGTGCGTGATATTTAATCGCCATATGTGCAGCTTGTTTGGAGTAGTATATTTGCCCCTTGTAGAATTCTACTTCGAAATCAGCAACAATAGGCATTGGAATTATGTTATATGAATCAACATATGATAATTCATCATCCTCTTCATTACCCTGCAAGAAATAATCTCGAGGACCATTAGGCTCTTCCTCTTCCTCTTCCTCGTCCTCCTCCTCCTCCTCCTCCTCGTCATCATACTCGTGATCAGATGGCATACTCCATGTCTCATTTTCACCCTGACTAATCCAAGCATGTACTGCAGCACCCAAACAACAAGGGTTTTGTGCCATAAAATCGAAGAGCACATTCAAGCTGTCATCATCCACAATAGGAACCGCATGATGAATTAGAACACCATTCTTCCATTCCGGAAGTTGGTAAGTGAAACCTGTGATCATATCACTACCCTGTATTGTTTCGTCACAACGTCGTATCCTCCGAAATAGAATCTCACAAAAATAGCGATAATTCACCCTGTTTGGAACCGTCAACTGAAATCTGCTTCTATCACCACCGGAAATGGCACCCAAATTGTTCTCTACTTTTTTCGATTTCCACATAACGGCTAATTCAAATCGCCTAAAATCACTACATAAAAATACAAAATTCACTAATCACTAACTAAACAAAATCATAATAACACTTTAAGAAAATAATTAAAAAAACAAATAAATCTCTTACCTATTAGCCATCGCAGGAAAACCAGCCGCAGAGCTCTCCTCCTCGCTTCGTAACATATATTTTTTTGTGGTGTGAGCACTACTGGCACCCGAAACCCACTTATATATAGTGGTGAGAGAAGGGGCGTTGGGAGAGAGAACTAGCGACCACGCCTGAGAGTTGGGCGGGCTCGCTTGGGCTGCATTTTTTCTTTTGCTCGAGCGGATTCGGTTGAGCTGTTCCTTCACAACACTCCATCCACTCCTCCTCTGACCTCTCTCTTCTCCTTGGCTTCCTAAATTAGCCATGGCAGAATCAAGACAATAACTCTGCAACCCGCCGCCGCATTTCCTTCCGTCTCGCCGGTTTCTAGGGCTTTTCAATTTTTTTTTGTTGAGACAAAATTTAGGAAGGAACAAATGAGCTGCTTCTCTTGCATTAATCGCCGGAAGGGGGTGAAGATCGACATTGAGAAGGCCCCTGGGTCTTCCAATTACCACAGCAACTCCTCCGATGACTCTGGTTCGAATCTGAATCTGAATGCCTGTCATCTTTCGAACCTTCTTTTTTCTTCCGATTGTCTTTTTTCTTCTTCTTTTTTTGTTCATGGTATGGTGATGTAGGTAGCGGGAAGACGAAGAAAGAACGGGAAGACAAGCTACCGAAGGGGAGTGGGTCGAGGAGTTTCTCGTTCAGGGAGCTGGTGAATGCAACCCAGAATTTCAGGGACTTGAATTTGATCGGAGAAGGAGGATTTGGCCGAGTTTACAAAGGCCGTCTGGACAAAGGCGAGGTATATTATACTTTTCTTTACAATGATCAAATTTGTCACCGAACTCGTCTCTACCCATCATTCTGCGCATTAAACCTAATATCTGAGACACCTAAAGCTCGAAACTTGTCCAATCAAATTACGGTTGGGGAGAGTTTGGTGCTTTAGTTGTCTCAATATGGAGTTTAGGATTCAATGTGATACATAAAGGAGTGCTGGGTGATATGATTTTTAACCATATCATATATGCTTATGTATTCGGCCGAATGAGATTCATTTCCCCTGATTGCTTCTGTTCGTGTGTAATCTTTATGTGGCAGATTGTTGCGGTGAAGCAGCTGAACCAGGATGGAATGCAGGGGAATCAGGAATTCATCGTTGAGGTTCTAATGTTGAGCTTGCTAAACCATCCTAACCTTGTTACCTTGACTGGCTACTGCACTGCTGGAGACCAGAGATTGTTGGTCTACGAGTACATGCCACGAGGCAGCTTGGAACATCATCTTTTCGGTGATGGCATTTCCATCTTCTAAGACCAATGCATGTCTCTGCAATATTTGACCATGGTCGAATGAGCGTTACTACTTGCTAGTATTGAGTTCATTCAATTCTTTGTAATAGAATCTAGAATCAGATAGATTATAGTCTGCTTGGATGAGTGATTTCAGTTGGTGAAAATTGTTAAATGTGGAGATCAAGATGGTCTTTTGGAAGGGGTTGGATTTCGAATTCTGCATGTTGGATCTTTTTTTTAAAGAATGGGATGGTTTCACAATTCAACTGATTTCCTTGCAACTTCATCGAGTAAAAGTGAAGCATTAAACTTGAATGTTGCATATGGTGGTGTTTGTTTTTGTATCCCAGATGTGGATGGCAAAGAGCCTAGAGTACCTTCACTGCAAAGCCAATCCACCAGTGATCTACCGCGACCTGAAATCCGCTAACATCTTGCTGGACAATGACTTCCACGCCAAGCTATCGGATTTTGGGCTTGCGAAACTGGGACCAGTTGGCGACAACACTCATGTCTCAACTTGAGTCATATGAACATACGGATACTGTGCCCCGGAGTATGCCATGAGCGGGAAATTGACTCTTAAATCCGACATCTATAGCTTTGGTGTGGTTCTGTTGGAGCTCATCACTGGACGGAAGGCAATGGATTATAGCAGAAGGCAAGGTGAACAGAACCTCGTTGTTTGGGTGAGTGATATGAAAAGTCTTCAGTTTTTTTCTTAGCTTTACCAAACCCTTAGGCTTTTAAACAAAACTAGAGAGCTAGCATAGGATACATAGTAATGAAATTCTATTTTGCCTTCCCTTTTAATGTTTGCAGTCTCGCCCCTATCTGAAAGATCCGAAGTAGTTCTGTCAAATGACCGACCCTCAGCTCCAGGGCCGCTACCCTCGTCGCTCTCTGAACTATGCAATTGCCATAACTGCAATGTGCCTCCACGAAGAGGCACATTTCCAGCCTCTGATTGGCGACATAGTGGTTGCTCTCGAGTACCTAGCTGCACAGAGCGCTGAGCACATGAGCGGAAAAGCACGAAGCGAGATCCCCTTGCCCTCTTCGAAATCTGACGGAAGTGAACCAATGACGCCACCCTCCTCAAAATCAGAGGTAAATGCCCGTAGCGAAATCATCTTGCCCTACTCAAGATCAGACAGAAGTGGACCAATGACGCCACTCATCAAAATCAGAGGTAAATGCCCCTAGTGAAATCGTCTTGCCCTCCTCAAAATCAGACAGAAGTAGACCAATGATGCCACCCTCCTCAAAATCGAAGGTAAATGCACCTCAGCAGTTGCTATCCTCGCCTATCTCGAATTCAGATAGAGACCCTCAGAAACAAGATCTCGTCACCACTAGCGCTTCGTTCTAATTTATGTATGTGGTCGGCGCTCAGAGGCTGATTTTCTGGAAAAGAACACCCTTCATTGGATCATCGCAAGTAAGTTGCTTAGTCAAACTAGGTATGATCTAAATGGAAGGAAGAACTATGTTTTTTTGAGTTTGTCCTGAGTTCTTATGGTGTGAAGTTTTTCCTGCAGATTTCTTGCAAGCTGTGAGAAAGGGATGGAAAAGAGTGAGTATACATAAAAAAAAATACGAATGAATGAATGTTGTTTATATGTTATACAGAATGTGCACATGAATTGTACATAAGGGTGTGATGTTTGGGAGGGTAGAAAGAGCTTGTTTTGTTTTCTTCTTTTCCACTTCTCCTCCATTTTCCCCCCATCCTCTTGTTTTATTTACTATGAAGAATGGAGCAAAATGTGTAGATTCTATCAATAAAAGGGATCCATTCATAGCACCCCTTACAAAATTGACATCAATGCTCATTGGTATGAAGTTATTTTTGCTTGGGTTATTTTTCTAGAACTGGTCTCTTTCATTTTTTTCCCCCATAGAAGATACTCTTGACGATGTTTATATACCTAGTGAACCATTAATGAAGCCTGCAGCTGAACAAAATAGCATGGTTAATGGTATTGCACCAGATGAGATGAGAAAGGTCTCTCCAATTACAAACCAGACTAGTATCAGTTTCGAGAAGCAAGAAGATCGACCTTCTGTCTCGTTGCAGCCATGAGGAGATACTAAGTTACTGCTGATTACATCACATACAGTGTTATTTCTTACTGAAATAGCAAAGATCATCGGCCGACGATAGATTATTTTAGTCATGGAATGCCCCTTGTTATTAGCTACTGATCTTTGCTTTACCGAATACACCATATTGCATGAATTCAGCTTAACATACTACGCTGAAAAATCAGACAAATACAATGCTTTCTGACATCTAAATGTAAAGAAAGCAGAGACCACAATGATAGTAAATTCTGCTTTGAAGTTGGCGTGCAAATTTGTTCATCTACAGCAATACTTGAATGGGCACTTTTCCACAACTAGTTCACTCGTATTACCGAGCAAGAATAGCATACAACGAAAGGACTTTTGTTGCCAGCACTAAATGGACAGCCCTATTTCTTTTCACGGTCTAAAAACACCACATTCTACTGTTGAATACATGTTTGAATCGTCACTTGAAAACAAATAACAAGCCCCTTCTGTTGTTCAGAAACAACAGAAATTTTTTTACAAGTTTATTCACTTCCTTGAAGAATAATGAATCAGCCAGATAAAAACCAAACTAAACCTACTACCCATATAAGATCCCATTTGCCTTAACGATCCCGATAGGGAACCTTGCATTCAACTGTTCTAAAGACCATTTCTAGAGCTAAAGAACACTTGTCTCCTACTTTTACTGTACAGAAACACTATCTACAGACACATCTTGATCACACGCCTCGAGAAGAAACCTGGAGCAAGAGTTTTATAGTTTGGCTCCCAGATGCTTGGCAGACTTCAATACATTCAGCAACATCTTCGTCGCACGTTATCAGCACCCACTCAGAGTCGTCGTCCAAATACTTGACATCAAACCTGCTCATGTCATCGATACCAAACCGCCTTGCAATCTCCATCAACAAGTCATTGAACCTCCAGTTGCTGGACATTCGGAACCTCACTATCTCGTTCCCGTATGCAACTTTCACTCGCTGGGCATCTGCTTTCCACTGGGAAACCCGAATGCCAGGGTTCTTTGCCAAGAGAGGATGATGTTCGCCCAAATTACCCCGGTCTGCCAGAGACTGATGGCTCTGAGCTCTTGGAAGTTGTACCTTAACGGGCTCCTCTTCCCCAAAGGCACGAAGCTCTGCTTCACTTCTGATCCTTTTTATCTCCCCACTTGCACCTGACGAAGACGAGTCCTTTCCCACCATGGAAGGACACTCAGTGGCTTGAACTTGCTTATGTGACTCGCTGGAGAAGGAGTGGCTCGAGTTAGAACCCTGACTGCATGACGATGAGGAAGTTGATTTTACTGCAGCTACATGGGCACCACTACTAGAAATGTCGGCAGCCTCAGGCTGCGTGCTCAACAGGTTCAGGGTATCGTCTGGCTTCGAAGCCGGTGGAGAGCCCAACTCGGGGAAGTTGGAGTAGAACGAACGTATGTGCAACGAACCAGAGCCGCCTTGAACCGAATCCATCACAACCTGGAGCTTCTGCAATGAGTGACCAACCTTCTTCAGCTTTCGAGAAGGCCATCGCGTGATCCCATGCTGCCTGCAGATTCGTTTCAATGTCGTCGGACACACTGCGATCACAACAGAAGAAATGACAGGCAAGCAGTCAGCAACATATTAGTTCGATGTGACAACCAAGTTGTAAGAGCTAAATACCATTCTTGTTATAAAACTCGCTTATATGTATCACATTGTGCAGGGAATTTGGCATCGAATGCTATAGCAGTCTTGATACCGAGCTTCGTGTCGAAAATAGCATGCAACCAAAATCGAAAGCATAAAAGATCAAACATTTTTACACACCTCCAAGACTCTTAGCAGCATCTTTCAAACTTCCAGCAAAATGTTGCCTAAGAACTTCCAATGTGATCTTCTTCTCCGCCTTGGTACGCTTTCTATCCACTTGCTTTCCCTCACCAGAATTATTCAAACCATCCGGTGATTTCACCCTCAATCCTGTGCCTATTTCCAGCAATGCAACGTCACCCTCACATTCCTGAGCTCCCTCGAGCCCATCACCATCAAGAGGAGGCCTAGAAGAATCACCATAGCGATTCGGCCCACAAATCGAAAGATCCGCTTCTTCTCGCTCAATTTCCTCATCCGTCACCACCCTCAATGTCCGGCAAACTCTCTGAATAATCACCGACAACGAATTCAGCATCTCTTCCTGTTGCTCGGCCGCTCGGCAGTCTGCTGGCAAGAAGAACTCAAGCACGAAATCCGACGACCCCGTGTGTACGCTCCTCAGACGAATTGCCACCGCGGCACACAATCCGAACATGCTGGCGTGGTGTGATAAGGGGTACTCGGTCTTGGAAAACCCCGTCACATCGCCGGAGAAGCATGGCTGGTTCGTGGTGAATGCTCTGCCCGCAATGCCTTGTCCTTTAAGCAAGTGATGCTCGGAGCAGGCCTCGTGGAAGCCTCGAATTCGGGGTTCGGATACGAAGCAGGCTTGATCTACCGTGGAGACGCAGTGAGGGTAGTTCTCGTCGGAATGCCGGCTTCCTTTCTTCCCCTGCTGGATGCAGGGTACCCATGTTTGAGCCAAGGGGAGGTTGTGTGTCTGGCAAGCTGATTTCAGGACTTCTTGGATTTCAGGCAATGCGGCTTGGTAGGCAATCTCTTGAGCCTGAAAAATAAAAGGAATATGACTCAAGAAATGAACATTTGATTATTGATTATGCAACAAATTCATAGCTTTCCTACTGGTTTACCTTCATGTTCAGACAGCTGGGATTTTCTGAACTCCTGAGATCAACAGCCTGCAAATGGAGATATAAAGTTCAGCACTTTAGAGACCTCCTGGTCATAATCACTTCTTCTTTCTTTCAGGGTTAACTGCCTAAATGATCAGTAAACTATAAGGTTTCGTCGTGGAACTGTTAATTAAGCTCAGTGATTTGTAACCAAAACAGGACTGCATATGATTTATCGGTGGTTTGGCTGAGCGCTTGATCCTGGCTGAGTCAGGATGCAATATAGGCTCGCCACCCTACCACGATCACCTAGTCAGCATCCCACGTACCCACCCGACCCCAACTCTTCCCAGATAAAGGGTGGGTTCGATATCGACTTAGTACTTCACTCACACGCAGGTTGCAAGTCGGATTTGTGGGTTAGGACCGACAGTCGATGCATGGTGTGCTATTGACTGGATGATGTTAATGACACGGCGAGCCCATTTTGACATGCTGACTCAACCAAACTGATAACAAATTCAAAGGAGCGACTATTTCGATATGAATCGCTTAGGTTGGCATACTCTCAACATATATAAAGGGTAGATATGGGAAGGCAAGTAGATGACAGCATTATTTGTTCGCAAATCAAATTGCTAGTAGTAGTAGTAGTACAAAAGAACACCAGCAAGAAAATTCGTATGGAACTTTGGCACATATCATCAAAAGTACCTACTCTTCAAATCTAGAAAAACTCAAGCTAAAACTTCACAGAAATTAAACAATCCACCACAAACCTCAAGTGCTTTGGCCACTTTCTCGAGCTCCGACTGATACTTGACCTCCTGCCTCGTCGTCACAATCTCAATCACACCCAAGCAACTCTTACTCTGTTGCTCAAACACTGGAACAGCCAGAGTGCCACACACATTGTTCTGCCGAGCGTGATCCACCCTAGGGTACTCCTCGCTCCTAAAGAACCTCACATCAGGACTCCACTCAGGCAGTTTCCCCAAAAATACTCGACCGGGCATCCCCACAAGGTCTTTGGAGTCCTCCTCTTCAGCTGAAAACTGATAGTTTAACGATATGTCCCTGTAGTTAGCCAATGTTTGGGAGCTCCCATCTAGGGTGAATGGCTGGTTGAAAGTCGTCAATACACGCCTTCCCATTCGATCCGTGGGAACCCATATCTGGACGAGTGCATCTTTGTCCTTGATCAAGTCTCGTATCCCACCTATGGCGCCCATCAACCGGTCCCTTACTGAGCTCCCAGGCGCTTTAGGTCCAATCCACCACCTTTTGTAACCTTCAATTGCATCCTTTTCATTTTCTTCCCTCCCTGAGACACCAACTCCATTATGTGAAGAATTCCTCATTTCTACTGCTTCTTCTTTGCCCATTTCAGGTGTACTATCTGTAGGCATCTCGACATTGTTGGTGATCTCCGGACAAGGTAAGGCATTTGACGATGGATGGAAAGTGAAATCTGCTGGACCAGGGTAGAAGAAATCTGATCCATCGGCTGCTGCCTCCAGCCAGCAGCCATCGAGCAGCAATTCATCCATGTAATCGAAATCCATGGTATTGTCTGCCAAGGTATCGGCCAAAGAATCCAGCAGGGTTCCTGATTGCCAAGCGCCATCCATGCTTTGCCAAAACTCAGGTTCAAAAGGACAAACTTCTTCTTTGAAGAAACCAAGTAGAACACTGTCTTGAAATCCTAAAGACCTGTTTCAAAGCTGTTCAATCCCACCATAGTCAATACATAGGAAGCTAGCTACAAATAGCAAAAAGAAGACCAACCCAGATTGGCAAATACAGCCAACTTCCATATCTGAGAAAAGATAGATGCATTTCAAGAATTGAGTAGAGATTTTGGCTACTAACACATTTAGAGTCAATGAATGAATTTGAAGAACTCCAAAATGGAAAAGTGATAAAGAGGGAGATAGAAAAAATTCCAGCTTAACAAACAACCATATCAAGTAAAGGAAGCCACTACATCCACTAAGTAGACCCTAAAAAGGAGAAGAAAGAAGAAAAGCTGCGTCTTTTCTGCCCCATTCATGGATTCCCCACATGAGGGGGAAAAAACTTCCCTCTTTTGATTCCAAATTCCAATTTTAGACCAAACCCATTAGCAAAGAGAAAGGTAGAAAACCCCCAAATCAAATGAGCTCTCTCTTTACCAAAACCCCAACACAGATGAAACAATAGAGCATTTATCAGTCCATACCATTCAAATCAGATCTCCAGAATTGAACATGCCCAGGAGGAAGAAGAGGAAGAGAAGAAGAACTCACTTTGGTATGTCAAAGATTCTTGAAGATACCAAACGATTCTCCTGCTATTATTATAAAGAGAGTTCCACAGAGAGAGAGAGAGATCCCTCGAAGCCTTGCCCAAAACTTAATACGTAGGCAAACCAGGAAATATGGAAACAACACAACAAAAAACCGATCCCATCATCATCATAACCATCCTAATAAAGTGAAACAGGTCTCCCTCTCTCTGTGCCCCCAATTAAAAGAGCGCCCATGTCCCGCTGATGAAATCACTCCCAAAATGAAAACTTGCGGGAAAAAAAAAGAAAGCAAAAAAATCTCCCAGTACTTATCCAATTCCCCCCTTTCTGTTTCTCCTGGGGAATTTCTTCCCTTACTCCGCCATTGCCTAAAAGATTCCTTCTTTCTCTTCTCTCAGCTTAGACTCAGCAAAAGCCACACTCTCTTACCCACAACAACCAACAAGGTTACCTCCATTGTTTCATGACTGTGAAAGTTACTAAAACAAAATTAATTGGTGACACTTTCGAAGGCTAAAAATCGGAACTTCACAGTGAAATAGAGCAAACCCAGATGAGAAACAGAGTGTGCTGGGGGGAGAAATGGGGAATCTTGGATTTTTCCAAGATGAGATTGGTGAGTAAAGAAAAAATTGGAGGGTTTTTCTCCTTTCTTCTTCTCTCCTTGTTGGTTGTGCCGTCAGCTTGTATTTTTGTGCTTTATACAAATGGAGACGACCATAATAATATGAAGAGGGAAAATTTTAAATAAATATTTTCAGATCCAAGTGAATATTAATAAAATCATTCGGCCGGAAAAAAGAATTTGAAGTTCTCTTCTCCATGCGAATTTGCGACGGGAAAGGAAAAAGGATACAAAGGGTTGCCTTTTCTTCCCGCGGTTTGGCGGGTTGCATTTGCCGTTTCCTTTCTTTTCTAACGATGAAAACAAACGTTGTAGTTAAACACGACCGCTTTTCTCTTCTCTTATGTTTTGTAAAATGGAAGACTCCGTCTGTTTAACCATAGAAGCAGAAGGCACCGTCGAAGGGAAGAGGAATCGGCCGTAGATGTGAGTTAAAAGCGACAATAAAACTTATTTTTTTTGGACGGAAAACCCGTTGTCCATGTGATAATCAAAACCCGTCTTTTAGTAGCATTCTTGTTTCAACCGTGTGTCTTAGCCTTGTGGTAGCTAGTTTGAGTTGTAACACACAAAGTGTAGTTGTATGTGCGATTTTCGGAACCCAGGTGCGATCCATGACGAAAGTGTGGGTCCTTTATAGCATCTCCAGTGAAACGGAGTGTCTTAGCCTTATGATGAAGGTTAAGTTGTAGCATACAAAGTATAGTCGTACTCCCACCGGTCGACTTGTAGCTCAAAAAACATGATCATACTCCAGGGTAGTCTTGGGTGTCAATCCTACCCCTTTAAGTAAGAATGTCTTAGCCTTGTGGTGGCTGGTTGAGTTTAGGCACACCAAGTATGGACGCGTTTCTAGTGGTCGAGTTGTAGAACACAGAGCATGGCACACTTCGCTCGTATATCATAATGGTCCTGCTCACTCTAACAAGTTAACATTTTAGTATAGGAAAATAAATCCAATACCAATATTTTTTTCCCTTCTCTCTAAGGTAATGATAAAATGATTAAACATTGTATTATTGATCATTCCCCCTGTCATGCTTAAGTTATAGTAGGAAATTGGGCCGACATCTCTGTTTCAAAACTCCATCAATTTGAACAAATTGAACTTACACATCAAGGCTCAAACCACATTATTAGTTAATACTAAAAGCTAAATATTTAAAATTTCAGTTTTCAACTTTAGGAACCTATGGATTTAATTATCGCTTTGGGATTTTTTAATTAATTAAAGATGATTTGGTATACTGAACATTGTTTAAACAGCTAACATAGTGGTAGGCTTGAGCTTGACCACAGTCCCAGATTAATTAATTCAATGATGCTCTCAACTTTTCTGAATATGTACCTACCCTATGATCTGTAAACCATTTTCTATGGTCCAACCCTAGTCTTCACTTTTTTTTTCTTTGTATTTGATCTAATGCATTCTCGACTCGGTTTGATTATGAACCATATATCAACAATTGGACAATGTTCATCCTACACCAGATTTTAGAAAATTCAAGTATGATCAATCATGTACCAAAAAAGGTGAATAAAAGAAGCTAAAATGCTAACGGGATAGAACTATTTTTTTTGTCATAAATAGTGAGAATCCAAATTGAATGCGAATTGCACTACACTTCAGGGCTCAGACCTTCCTACTTGAACTATCTTGAATAACTTAACATGTTGAATAAAAAACCTAGAGTTGTTGGCAGAGCCCGAGAATCGATTTTACATCATTTTCTTACAAGCCATTTCAAACTAAAGACAATATGTCAGGGTCGAAATTTTTCTAAGCTCGCCCAATAACTTGTACCTGATATGGTATCATAGCATTTGACCATAGGATTTTGTGTGTTTTGAATTGTTGTGGAAATTGTTCACTTATACTATTTTCTTGCAACACAAGCAAACACATAAGATTAAGAAAACATGCAAAGACACATGCAAGCGTCCTAGCCGATAGAATTCACTATCTCTCCTTAAAGAATCTTATTCCCCTCAAATACCCAAGGTTATGGAATGGTTCCTCCCAGGATAGAAAGGACGTACCTTTTCCGGCGTAGCGGTACCTCAAACCCCAGAAACCATCGAACGCAGCGAACCGGCGAGAACCACACTTGACTCTATTTTCTCGTTGAAAAGAATGCAGAAAACTAGTTTTGGATTTTGGCAGAATTTTGTATCGGAAAAAATCTCTATATCAAAACCAAAGGGGGTTAGGTGCTATTTATAGAAAATGAAGGGGTGCGTACGAAGGGAGGCGACTCTCCATATGGGTGGTTACACCCCAACCAACACATTGGTTCATGTTTGAAATAATGAACCATTGCATCGGTTAGGCCCATGGTAGTTGGACCGGTTTGGTTATTCCAACCGCCACATAGGTTCGGTTCGATTTGGTTCAACTCGGTTTGGTTTGGTCCGTTTGATACACAAACCAATTTAACCGATTAACCACATATTACATCAAATGGATCGAATTCGAGGCCGTGCCTTCCCACATCTTACCAACATGGTACTTCAAGAGACTCTCTTGAAACTTTCCCCTTTTATTTCCATTCACACCACTAAAAATCCCAACAATCCCCCACATGAATGGAGAATGTTGTACTTTAAAACTATGCAAAAAATCGTGTGATTCTCGACTAAGAATTAGTTGCATCGGAATAGGTAGGTTTCCCTTTGAACCTTCCTTAGTGAACATATATCGAGTATACTCACCAATCGGTAGATGTGATATCTTTGAACCGTCGGTTTTGCTTGTATACTAAGACAACATATGTCACACAACTAACTCTTATCCGTTCACTGGTTCTCATTGTTGTGTTCGTTTTAGCCATGAACACCGCCTGGTCTCATGAGTGCTTAGAGAACTGGCCTTCTTTTATTCTCTTTGAAGCGGCTCCACTTCACACTCACATAGGTGATTTCTAAACATGTATTCCGAAAATACACTATTTGATCACATCCTGTGTCAAACTTAGAAACCATTAAAAACCTTCCATCTTTAGGTTTACCCTTATAGTTGGACATTGTCTCCTCATGAGAATGGACTTTGAATAATTTGACAATGTCGGACCATCATTCACAACTTTGTTTTCTCCTTGAACCTAGAGGTTGGGTCTGCCAATCCTGCTTAGGTAGAGTTACCACCATGATGATTTGTCCTAGGCCACGAGTCCATTCCCTTCGATGCTTAAATTAATTTCTAGATGGGCCCCACGTTTGTTATCACTTGATCTAAACTGATCATCTCCGATAACTTTGCTAGAAATTAACCAATCAATAATGTTATGTTTCTACGACGAGATTTTCACATAACACTTCTAGCCCTTTCAATAACCATTTTGTGCACAAATGCGTCTTATTAACGCCAGTCTTTGCGGCCAAACTACTCAACTTCACCGGTCTTAGAGTTTAACTTGGACGTTTTCCAAGATACTGCTCCTCGTTAACCATAAATGCCTATCCATTAATAGACTATGGCTTTTGGTTCACCCAGTGAGTTCCTTTGGGTAAAATTCACCAAAGACTCGTCTCTTTTCAATTCACTACACATCTTATGTGTTTGCCTTGATTTTATTGCCTTGCAATAATCAAAACACATGCCAACGGTGTTGAAGTCTCTCTACTTCATTAACCTTAGAGTACTTGAGTTTCACAAGTATCTCTTCAAATGTAGTGACATCTATGACTTAACTTAGGGTTTACGTAAAATCACATCACTTCACTTTGGAATCACCCAAGCGACATTCCACATCACTTCTCCCCAATTTATCCCCACATTTCAAGTATTTCGCCATAGTTGTTGAAACCAACGTTTTTTCGGTTTGGGGAATGTTGTTCATATACATTCATGTATACGGTCAAAATCATCTCTTTGGGAAGAGTGGATCAACATCAATAAATATTCTAGCTCTTTGACATAACGTCAATATATGCTAGAGTTTACTCATAAGTTATACCCTTGGACTAGGTTAACTCCACATGGTTTAAGGACTCTCACTTTCTCATTGGACACCTTCATACTTTCAAGTATGACTTCGTTTACCTTTCCACTTTTGTCTTCTGGATAGGTTTGCGTCCCATTGTAGGGTCTTGAGATAGTAGCCGAAACAATGCCCCCCCCCCCCCCCACAATTCTATTCTTTGCCAAAACATCATGGAATAATCCCATTTATTTTCCATGGTTTTACTTATTGAATTTGCCAACCACTAGTGTATCTAATTGTTTACCAATGGTATGATCTCACTCGATTAGAATACCACAAACAATTCAGATTTTATTAGAAAATCATCCAATTACTTACCAATGGTATTGATCAAGGCAACTTGAGACGTCATAAGTAATTCAGATGCATTCCAGTAATGGAAATCCCATCTAATTACTTACCAATGACATTTCATTTATGTAACATGATATACCACAAGTAATTCAAACGAATTTCTAATTCAATTGTCTAATTACTTTCCAATGGTATAAATTTCATAAAATATACCATAAGTAATCCAGACTTTAAGTTCAATAAGATCATCTCAATTGAGCTCTCATGCCAAATTGTTTTCCAATGATATATATCTATATATACCATAAACAGTTCTGGCAACTAGCTCCACGTTGATAATCATAGTCAAATTGTTTTCCAATGGTATAGTGTACTTATACCATAAACAATTCTGACCTAATGCTTATCTTGATGACGACCATCATTTGGCAAGCTTATTAAATCCCTATAAGGATCAATCATAACTTCATTTTCCTTGCCCTCGTGGCATAGGAAACATCAAGTCCTAAACCGCATACATAATAAACAAATTATTATGTCATCACAAGCATCTTAGGAATTAGAATTCCTTATCACTTATGGCTTACTCGTAATGCAAACCTTTAAACGTGCATTAACCAAACTTCATCTCCAACACATTGGAGGTATACTCTTTCATAACTATGTTCAACTTACTTTGAACATAACCTATGCAAACATTCTGGCTTAGATAGACTTGACAAACAAGTCCCTACTGGCCTCTCGTCATAGGTTTCACATACCTATGATAGTTCATAGTTTCCCACTAGATAGTTTATTACTATCCAAACCACCGTTACTTAGAGTCCATGAAGGACTATCATAAGTAATTCCATCCTCTCATGCATCACCTTGAACGAAGTCCAAATTAAATTGGCACATTTATCATTCATCAATGCCACAAAAATGAAATGGGCCAATGCAATAAAAGCATTTAAACTTTGTGGTTAATTTTGGAACCAATCAAACTCGTAAGGTTTTATCCAACTAATTTTCCACTTGGGAGATAAGAACATTTGTCCTTTATTCATCATGTAAATACACGACTTACATAGGTACACACAAATTAATACCATATGTATATATACACACATACATATGTCTACTCCTCAAAGGAGATTACAATACATATACAAGAACCCTAAGGATTCTTGAGGTCGAAGTCAGGATCAGAGAGACATTCATCGGTCTCTATGTCGGAGTACTCCTCCTCGTTCTCTGATTCCTCAACTTCCTCTTCTTCCCCCATATTCTCCATCGAGTCCACATGGGTGCCCAAATCGTCCACATTAGGTCCCATTGAGTACCAATCATAGATGGGTATGTCATCTAAAGTCCAATAATTGGTTGAATGCTCTCCACCAATGTCATTATATAGCCAAATCCCCGCTATCGTCAAAAAAATCGAACCATTCTTCATTGTCAAACTCCAATTCGGGAGTAGAGAGATCAATGATCTCCGGATCTGATTCGATATTGATGACCTCTACGACGTCATCGTCGTCATCTTCATCAACATTGATGAGGTTCTTCGGCTTTGGAATGCTTCCAGCCATCTTGTTCCAATTTGCTTTCAAGATTGTGAAACAAATAAACATGAACTCCATCTTTCACATATATACAAGACAAAGTACGACCAGAGACAAAAAAATATGTATGCACGTATGGCTAACATTCCATTAAAATCTCACTGAACTAACAGATCATAACATGCATTTCCAGCCAACGCAATTGAATTCGGACTCATCACACATGGGAACAATGCATGAACCGAATTTCTATAATGCATTGTAAATGTATATGTATTCACGTACACAGTGAGGCACATATGTATACACATACTTAGAAAAGAATAGGGATAGAATGGTACCAGACTGTCGAACGACTCGTTTCCCTCTATGCAACCGACAAATGATTGTTTCCATGCCATTTTTTTTTTCTACCGCCAATCCATGCAAAGAGAATCAAATGCAAGTATCATACAAGGGTGCATGTCTTGTATGAAACAAATGGCATATACATAGTCATGAACACATGATGATCACGCACTCTGATTGTGCTACATCATTTGAATATGCCATATACGAGAACAATTACTAAAATTAAGATTCTTTAAGATTGTTGTGGAAATTGTTCACGTATACTATTTTCTTGCAACACAAGCAAACACATAAGATTAAGAAAACATGCAAAGACACATGCAAGCGTCCTAGCCGATAGAATTCACTATCTCTCCTTAAAGAATCTTATTCCCCTCAAGTGCCCAAGGTTATGGAATGATTCCTCCCAGGATAGAAAGGACGTACCTTTTCCGGCGTAGCGGTACCTCAAACCCCGGAAACCATTGAACGCAGCGAACCGGCGAGAACCACACTTGACTCTATTTTCTCTTTGAAAAGAATGCAGAAAACTAGTTTTGGATTTTGGCAGAATTTTGTATCGGGAAAAATCTCTATATCAAAACCAAAGGGGGTTAGGTGCTATTTATAGAAAATGAAGGGGTGCGTACGAAGGGAGGCGACTCTCCATATGGGTGGTTACACCCCAACCAACACATTGGTTCATGTTTGAAATAATGAACCATTGCATCGGTTCGGCCCATGGTAGTTGAATCGATTTGGTTATTCCAACCGCCACATAGGTTCGGTTCGATTTGGTTCAACTCGGTTTGGTTTGGTCCGTTTGATACACAAACCAATTTAACCGATTAACCACATATTACATCAAATCGATCGAATTCGAGGTCGTGCCTTCCCACATCTTACCAACATGGTACTTCAAGAGACTCTCTTGAAACTTTCCCCTTTTATTTCCATTCACACCACTAAAAATCCCAACATGAATCCTTACTCGAAATTTTCCAAGCTCGCCCAATAACTTGTACCTGATATGTCATTAGACTGTCTGACCATATGATCTTGTGTGTTTCGAATCCTTACAACTCTTAACATTTATCAATTAGCTAAACCTCTAACTATAAATTAATTTTTTTTATGCGACGTGTAATGTAATAATATAAGATCCGTTCTCACAACTCTCAACCATTCTCTTACGCAAACATCTCAAGAAACTTTGGAGATCCACTACATAAGGCCCCTCAAGTCTCAATCACTGAATTGTTATATTTGAATTAAACTAATAACTAATCAACTTTTTTTTGGGTAATTAACTCCTAAAAACAAAATGATTGATTGCTTCAAGGAACCGCACACTTGCATCAATGCAACCCCACACGTCCTTCTCACTTGTAATTTTTATCATAACAAAGTTCTGACATTTTAGTAATTAATCATAAACAATGAGCTTAAGCAATTAAATAGGGGCATCTTCCTAATGATCTCAGCCTTGATGAGAGAGATATTTTTTTCCCCAGACTTGGTGTGAAAGAAGTAAGAACACATAGCTGTAAGTTGATTAAGCTCCCCCCAATGCTGAGGATTAGTGGTAATTAATATTTTAAGGAGGGCAAAGATGCAAAGGCAAGTGGGGGGTGGGGGTGTTGAGATTCTAGCTTATTCTTGATTAATTATTTATATGTGATGTCATGGTGGATGGATCATTGATAGATCTATTCCCACTTATTATTCTTAATTAATAGGTTAGAATCTTGTTTAGGTTTTGAGTTGAATCCCCTCCTACTACTATGAGTTCAAGTCTCATGAAGTAGTTTACAAACCGATTTGCATTGGACTTCTTGGTTTGTAAAGGACACAAGCTTCGTTTTCGTTTTGTCACACATTTCTTCGATACGGGCGATTCAAATTTAATTTTTTGGCTCTCATAATGTGAAGAGGGATCACCCATGATAGTTTATTCAATACTAATTAGGATCCTGAGCATCCATCTTTTACTGAAAAATGAGTAATTTGTCGGCAGAAGAACACTCTTTTAGTCACGTTCATTATTGTGACACCTATAAGTGAGTAATTACTTTAGAATCAATATGTAATATAAAAAAAACTCTTTCCTTTCACTAATTGCCTTCAACCCGCATTTTTTAACCAAACTTTGGAGTTCATAGCATCCGCAAATTGCCTCTATCAATAAGGAGACCAGTCGCATAATTGTCTTCTTCACAAATATGATTTATTTTCTTCGTTCCTATAGCTTTGAGGCTAAAAATTACGTTACATGAGAGAAATATGAAGATTACTTGTGCATGTTTGATCTGTGAGCGCGGCAACTTCACAACACAAAGTTGAATTGAAGATGCATGACCATGGAAGATAAAACTGTAAATTATGACTTCTCAGAATTCTAACTACACCTTAGATCACAACTCTGATAAGAGATGACTCATTGCACATTTGCACCCGTGAAGAATAGATTAATTCCGAACAGTCGAGGTATCAAATCGATCCAATGACGAATTTGATATGGTACTATTACATTTCTCATGTGATCATATTTAGGGATGGCAACAAAACCCGAATCCACGGGTACCCACCCGATCAAATCCGGTCAACACGGGTAAAATCTGTGTTGACGGATTTTGGGTCGGGTTTAGGTTTAAACCCGTTCACTAATCACCCGCCCCATTGGCACCCGCCCACACCCATATAATTAATTTTCTTGGTATATTTAATATTCTAAACAACTAATCTTATTTATGTTTGTGGAGACATGTCTAATTTTTTCTTTATAATTGTGTAGAATGAAGTTGATGTTATTGAGTGGAGAGTGAAGAAATTTAATTGAAAGGAAGAAACTTTCAATTAATCATGTTATTTATGGATAATTTGTGATTTGCTTCAGTTTTCTTGAGTTTTCTAGATTGGTGTTGAATAATTTGTATAGTTGATTTGTGATTTGCTTGAATTTTCTAGAATGGTGTTTTATATATGGATAATTTGTATTGAGAGGTTGATATTTGACTTTAATTTTGATAGGAATTTGTTATTGTAAATTTTTTACTACAAAAACCCGTGGGTACCCATAAATCCGCGAATACCCTGCAGGTTGGGTTGGGTTTGAGTTTAGCAAAACCTGACCAACTAATCATGTTGAACCTCTCAAAGCATTCTCTCCACAACCATATAATCCCCTAATGTTGACCCATCCATAGTGTTAATGGTGATAACTCGCCACAGCTTGCATTTTCAAATCCCTACAAAATCTGACGAATTAGGCCCAGCCGCAACAAGACAGACCACCCTCCAATAATCAGAACCCGACGTTTCATTTTGAACCTTGAAAAAACTATCCATCTCCTCATCTCATCAAAATTTGTGGTCATAACTCATAACCACAACAAGAGCCTATGAAAACCAATAGTTTACGAAAATTGGGCCCGCTAATTGAAAAGACGTTGAGCAAGATCGGGCCGAAGCCCAAAAGAACCACATTTCGAACCAAGGCATCTTTAAGGACCCAAAGTGCATACAAATTGCATGCAATTATTAAACAAAAACATATGGTTCGGTTCATGTTCCTCTTTCAGCTTATATGATTATTAGACAGTAAACACAGATCTGGGTTGCAGACAAACACATTATAGGTTCTGTTTCAACACACTGTAGTACAACATTACGGGCACAGAATCAAAGTGTCCATTTTCTCTTTTCTTTCCTTGGATGGAATCATCATCTCTTTCAACTCTCCAGGCACTTCTTCTCAAGAAACATCGCGCTGTGCGTTTCTTCTTCGAATGTCTTCAAATGCTCGGCCTCACATTGAGACGGTTTGCTAGCTTCTGACCGAGGGACTTATCGGCCTACATCGATAACAGAAGAAACTTAGACAAACAGTTTACTTGCATCAATGATGTTGAGATGGTTATCTGAATTGACTTGTGAGGTGGGGTTTTTTTTTCCTAACCTGTGACCAGTATGTGATCCAGATGCTGCGGATTTCATGGGTGACTCGGGGGTCAGAGAGGGCATCGATCCATCGGCAGATGAATCGTTCTTGCCTGAAAAAGACATTGCAGGTTAGGCATACGTGTTTACTTGTTTCTCACATCTTTGCCCATTTTCACGTAGGGAGCTGCGCTAGATTTGTAATTCTACCTGTCGGGTGCCCAGGAGCGGTATCTCTCCCCAGGTTGCTTGAAGTTGTTCTCCTTCGTAATCACACACTGCAATTTCACAGAGGTTAAGGCAATGCCGCAAACAATATTATGTTAAAAACAATCTTAAGACCAAACATAGACGGGCAAAGGCATGATGGAACAAGTGAATGTATAAAGTAAGTTACGTTGATGGAACAAGTGAATGTAACAAGTGAACGCCCCTATACAACGACTGTCTATCAAACTTGATACCAGAGCGGGAGGAAAAAAAAGGAAGCACGTCATGAAGAACAGAGCTGACCTTCTCACGCTTTCCAGTGCACATTTGAGGAGGAATGGGGAATTGCTCAGCATGGCGAACTGGATCATACCTTGAGGGGAAGTAATTCACCTGAAAAGTTGCATCATAAAGATCGATAAGAACATGAACCAATCCAGATTATATTCAGCCAGGTCCAATTCACTCCAAAGGATCCAATTGAATGAGGAAATGAATGTGCATGTTCAAAAGAGTCGGAAAAATTACCTCCTCGTCCCTATGCATGAAGTTCATGAGACCTTCATGGTGATTGTTGTGATGAGCACACTTGGGAGCATTAGCAGGGAGCTGCAGATAGTTCGGTCCAAGACGGTGCCTCTGGGTATCAGAGTATGAGAAGATCCTTGTCTGAAGCAGCTTGTCATCAGAATAGTACACCCCAGGAACGACAAGTGCAGGGCAGAATGCAAGCTGCTCATTCTCAGCAAAGAAATTATCAATGTTCTTGTTCAAGACCAATCGGCCGACCGGCTGAAGAGGAATGATATCTTCAGGCCAGGTCTTGGTGACATCAAGTGGGTCAAAGTCAAATCTATCCTCGTGATCTGGATCGATTGTCTGGATGAAAAGCTTCCACTCAGGGTAGTTTCCAGCTGCAATGGAGTCATACAGATCTTGGGTAGCATGGCTATGATTAGCACCACCAACTTTAATTGCCTCATCATCCAACAGACACTTTACGCCACAAGTGGGCTTCCAGTGGAATTTGACATAATAAGCTTTGCCTGACTTGCTGACCAAGGTATAGGTGTTGACACCGGAACCTTCCATGTGTCTGTAGTCTTGAGGAACGCCGAGGTCATCAAAGAGGAAGGTGAACATGTGCAGACTTTCAGGGTGATGGGAGAAGAAGTCAAGGATTCTCCAGTTCTCCTGAATGTGAGATTTAGGGTTTGGCTTGAGAGCATGCACCATGTCTGGGAACTTCATGCCATCACGGATGAAGAAGACTGGGAAGTTGTTTCCAACCATATCAAAGTTCCCCTGCATTATTAAGAGCAAAGGGCCATTGAGAACTCACAAAGCTGAACCATGAATACTTAAATGAATAAGCTGCACAATGTCGGGCAGATATAACCGTCGAATTTACTATTCAAGCAATTACCACCTACGAGTAAAGCAGAATTAACATGACACGGCAAAAATGAGACAAAACCCCTAAAAAACTAGACTAAGAACAAAACGGGTGAGCTATGAATTATATACGAGATTTACCTCTCTGGTGTAGAATTTTACTGCAAAACCCCTGGGGTCTCTCAGAGTTTCAGGACTACCACGTTCATGGATAACAGTGGAGAATCTAACGATCACAGGAGTCTGAACTCCTGGAGCTCGGAGGAAATCAGCACAAGTGAGATTAGAGATATCATGAGTGACTTCAAAGAAACCCTTTGCACTTGCACCCCTGGCATGGACAACACGCTCTGGAATTCGCTCCCTGTCAAAGTTGGCCAACTTCTCCACCAGATGATAATCCTCCAGAAGAATTGGACCTGCCAAAAAGAGAACAAGTACCAACAAGTTCAATCTCACTGTAGAATACAATCAAAACCATGTTCATAAATAATAACCAATCTGTCTTTGGGACAAATTCAGCCAAACATAAACCGATCGAGAGAAATCCCTTACCCCTAGTTCATCCAAACTAGCATAATAAATTGCATAACCCATAAAATAATTCCAAGTTTCTAACCAATCCAATCAAGCTCACATACAAAATGAAGGGAGGGAAAAGAGATGGGAACCAAATCACTGTGAAAGCTAGCACACATAGTTATTTAATATAACAAAAAATTCACTATCAAACACTACAGAGTGCACAAAACAATTAGAGACCAACGATTCAACAACCCCAAAAAGAATCAGCCAACCATGGGATAGCTAGAAACCAAATACCTCTAGGTCCAACAGTCATCGACGAGTTGTTGTTCCATACTGGAGCGCCAGAATTGGTGGTGAAGAACGGAGAATTGAAAGCGCTGGAAGGACGATGCTGTAATCATAACCACACAACCATCAATCAAAAAAGAATCCCATGAACACCAAACTAATTGCCCAAAACGAAAATGAACCCGAAAATCGAACAGGGATTAGGGTTCTAATTGTGCGAAAACACACAAAACGAACGAGCAACCAAAAGGAGCAAGCGAGCGATGAAGCAATCAGTACGTACCCTGTAGGGATCCATGGCGGGAGAGACGGATTGATTGGTGAAGAAATGGGGGAGACGAGGAAAAGGAGAAGAAGATTAGCACCACCGATTGAGGCTGTGGGAATGGCGGATAATAATATCCAAGATTTTCAGTCGTGTTTTGGATTGGTAATAAATTTATAGGAGGTTCGTGGCTCACACAACCATTTTCGGCTTCTTTCCCCTATTTTTTTCTTAGACTTTTTTTTTTTTTGCTTGTCTTTGATTTTCCCTCGTAAATTAAAATCAGAAACGTCTATAGTTATCCGCACCAAATTAATAAATTATAGGTTGTGGTCTTTGCAGGTCGAAGAGTTTCTTGTGTCGGAAAATAGAAAGAAAAAATGTCATTTTTATTTCTTTATTTATTTTTATATCGTTAAAACAATACTATTAGGTATCACCAAAAAAATAATAATACTATTAGGAATATTGTACTATATAAAATAGATAACAGAACATTAAACTGAAATTATTTGACATTTATGTCATTTAAATTATGGTTATATTGTGATTGACGATTTTGAATGTAAATTTTAACAGATAACATGTTTAATAATTATTTCAAAGTACAAATGTATGTTCGATGAAATAGTCATCTTAGCAGGTGAATCAGTGATTCGGTGATCAATCAAAAATTAAGAAATAGCAGGAGACTCGAATAAAAATTATGTTAAACTTTATTGTTAATCCTTATTTTCCATTAGTGATGACAATGGGTCGAGTCGGGGCTGGATATTGCATATCTATTACCCTAAACGAAAAAGTTTGGGTTTTACCCATAAGAATCTAGTAGAATATTAGAACCATACTTATACTCAATCGGGTTTTAGATATTTACTGTTATTCATGGATAATATTTTTTTTTATAATTTTAACCAATATGTTAAGTTAACATATATGTTGACATTACATAAATGACAAATTACGACGATAAATTGCTAAAATGAAGAAAATATTTAAAAATAAATACACTTTCATGAAAAATATTATATATTTATGATAAATATCAAATATGTTAGAAAATAATGATAATTTCTAAATAAAATACAAAAGCATGTGTATACTCGTGGGGGGTTCGGGTTGGATAGTACCCAAATACCCATCCATCATTCGCAATATCAGAATTCGAGTTTTACCCATATTTATAAAAAAAAAATTGTTTATGGTTTGAGTTTTACTCACCCGATTATGAATATCTACGGATTATAATTATTTTTGTCATCCCTATTTTCTATAAAAAAAATACTCTTGTTAAATTAATTGGATTTTCGCCTCTAGTTTCATGAAGTCTCTCTATCTTTTCACAAAACACAAATATGAATGGAATCTCCAACACCTTTCACATTACAGTAATTAGTTTGGAGCTTTTATTTTGGGTGGATGAAGGAACAAGTTTTTGGCATTGTTGAAAGTGGCCAACGCCAACTGGTTTGGTATGAACGATAATAATTTTCTACCCTGACAATATATTTTTAAATTTTTTGTGATTTTTTTTTTACTATTTTATTGGACAAAAAAGGGAATAATAAATGAGGACGTCATGATTTCGTATATTTCCTTATCCGGGTAATTTGGTGTTATGCTCTTCGAGGCCGGGTGGGCTCATAACCATTGATGGGCAGAGCAATGACATGGCCCGCTCATATCCTGACACGTGGGATAAAATGCACCTTGAACTGTGTGCTTCTGGTGCTGGGCTTACTCACTGTGTTTGAAAACCTGCCCACGAAGAGATTAGCCTTAGCCACTCAAGCCTACGTTAGCTGGGCCCTACAGCAACTGATCCATCAACACAAGTGAAAAATGAGTCGGTTTGCTTGTTGGATTTGTCATTCAATCCCTAAGCATGATGGATTAAATCAAATATGGTTTCGTTTGTTTATTGAATTTGAAAAATAAGGGTTTTGGCCAATAAAAATCATGGGATTTATGTTTGATTTATTGGATTATGGATTTGAATAGTCTAATGTTTGCATGATAGATTTGATGATGCATTTGTGATGGATTTGTTAAATAAATAACTAACCATCAAGGATTTGCAAATCCCAAATAAATATGTGGGATTTATAGGTCCGTGGGGTCCACGAATTTGGTTCCAAAATAAAGACCAAATCCGTGGACCCCACGGATTTAGCACCCTTCAACAAACAATGGACTTATGTTAAATCCATCAAGTTTGGAATTTGGGTACCAAATCCATGACCCAAATCCAATAAGCAAACGACCCATCTATTATTTATTGCATCAAAAAATAAGATGTCAAATTCACGGGGCCCACGGATTTGGAAATTTTAAATCCCACCTTTTATTTGGGATTTGGTTGATGGAAGGCAAAATCTTTGAGGCCCTTGGTACAAAAAGTTACAAATCCATGATAAAAAAAATCATCAACACAAACGATAAACTCTTTCAAATCCATAATGCAACAAATCCATCACAAATCCTAAGGTTTTAAAAACTAAAAATCTTTCACTCTAAAATCCAACAAGCAAACGAAGAATAAATTGTTAAAGTTGGAATAAAAATATATGATTGATTTTATTCTCTCGTATTATAACTAGGTATGCTCTTCAAAATTACAGTTAATGGTTCTGCTTATTACAATCCAATCCAAGCATTTGATATACAATACTTAAACTATAATCAAGTAAAATCGCGACACAATGTTGTGGTATAACAAGAATGAACATTAATAGTAATGACAAATTAGAAGAGTGGGAAATGATATTTGGAACCACGGTTAGAGAAATTGGAATTGGACTCTTGGAGCCACGGAAGGAAGGGTGTGGAGTAAGAATTGGGTTCAAATGGTTTGATATTTTCTACAAGGGAACTTTGAGTTTTGGAGCACAATCGAGTTCACACATGAAACTCAATTATTCGACAGATTAAAAGGGGGATAAAACCATTTTATGTGGCAGAGTTTTCGTCTGTTGGTCACACCAAAGCCAGGAATATTATTTCCTAAAAAAAAGCCTGGAAATCTAACAAGGGAAACAAAAACAGAAAGAGACAAAAGGGGAATTGGGAGAGGACATAGTTCCACGTTAAACATATTTCTTTCAATCGTATTTCTTTCATGGCAAAAAAATAGTTTTGGATGGGAAAATCTCTAATTTTTAGTGGTCGTTTGGTTTTGGTGATAGTTTGGTTAAACTAGATACAATGCGTTATTTTTTCAAAAATTTTCACAAACAATACATACATTGTTTGGTTGATGTCACTCAAAATGAGTAATAGTTAAATCTCTTTTTTTTATGAATGGTTTGGGCTTTTCATTTCATCAAAAATGGGCAAACAACTTTGCTGACAACAAGCTCTGCCAGCTGAGCCAAGAACCTATTACCAAGGTATTCACAATAATAACAATCAATCAAGCAAACATAAAGCCAAAGAGACTCGAAAAATCGATCAAGAAGTGCATGATCCAGAAACAGCCTCAGATCCCCCTTTATCAAATGAATCAGCTCCTCCATGTCAAACACTTTTACTCCAAACTTTATCCTGCATCTCTCCCTCCAGATAGCAGCAATCAGACTATGCCAAATCACTTTACCCGCCTGAGCAACATCATTCTTCTTTCGAAAGTGCTGGGATGCCCACTGAAGTTCAGACAGCCACTGATCCCCAGGAGATCGAGTAGTATACTTTGCAAACAGAGTTGTAAAAAGCTGCTTGTAAACATGACACTCTGCAAACATATGAGGCCTTGTTTCCAGGGAAGCATTACAGAATACACAATAGTGATTTCCTGTAGCTCCCCACCCTTGTGCTTTGTCCCCTGTCATAATGTAATTATTGACTATGAGCCACACCAGAAACTGATTTCTGGGGATACAAATTTCCTTCCAAACCAGAGAGTACCAAGAGACAGTGTTGCTTTTAGGCCTAAGCTCCTCCCAGACTTTCTTTATTCGAAATTTTTCCATAAGATCTCCTTTCCAGTAAACCCCATTAGCCCCAACCGAAAAATAGCTACGCATCCTATCTCTGCATTTCAACAATTTTAACCACAACCAGGACCCTGCATTAGAAGTGACAGTCCAAAATCACACCTCTTGATTCTATACTCCCAAACCCAGGCTACCCACAATGACCCCCGTTTCAACAGTATATCCCAGATATGCCTTGTTACACAAGCCAGATTCCATGATGCCATGTATCTAAACCCTAGACCACCTTCCTTCTTAGGATAGGTAACCCTTGGCCAAGCAACCACAACCCTTTTCCTAAAACCATCCCCCACACCCCACAAAAAGTCACTACACAGCTTCTCTATTGCTCTGATAACTGCTTTAGGGAGGATAAAGATTGACATCCAGAATTGTGTTAGGCTATACAAAACTGACATGACCAATTGAAACTTCCCTGCATAAGACAAAGTTTTAGCTTTCCAGCTAGATATTAGCCCTGTAACCCTGTCAATCAGAGGAGTACAAGCATTAATGGTGAGTTTCCCTGCCAGCAAAGGGAAACCTAAATATCGAACTGGAAGCACCCCCAGCTTATACCCTGAGTAATTAGCCATTGCCTCCTGCCATTCCACACTAATTCCACCACAATATAACTCACATTTTGCTGGATTTGATTTGAGACCTGACATTCTCCTGAACTCAGCTAAAACTTTCTTAATACACTGGATCCCAAGGTTAGATCCATCAGAGAATAACAATAGATCATCAGCAAACATAAGGTGAGTTAGCCCCAGTCTCTTACACATGGGGTGAAAAGACATTTCATTCTTCTTAACTGCTTCATTCATTAAACAAGACAGGACTTTCATAGCCACAACAAACAGATATGGGGAGAGGGGATCTCCCTGCCTCAGTCCCTTCCTAGCAAAGAAATAGCCCACTGAACCCCCATTAAATCCAATGCTCAGCTTAGGTGTGGTTACACACATTCTCAACCAATGCAAAAACCTATCAGGAATCCCCATTGCTTGCAAAGTATTAAAGAGGAAACCCCAATCAACAGAGTCAAAGGCCTTCATTAGATCAACCTTCACTAAGGACCTAGGGGAGATATTCTTTCTACCATATTTCTGGACCAGTTCATGTGCAAGTAGAATATTCTCCCCTATTATCCTACCTTTAACAAAAACAGTTTGAGATTCACTAATTATGCAGGGCATAACAGAGCTAAGTCTTACAGCAAGTATTTTGGCCATACATTTATACAGAATATTACAGCATGAGATTGGCCTAAAGAATTTCATCTCTTCTGGGGACTGAATTTTAGGGATTAGAGCTAAGAGGGTTGAATTAACACTTATAGGTATATCAGAAACTCTAAAACAGTAAAGGATGGAAGATGTTACCTCCTCACCAATGATATTCCTTGCTGCTTTAAAGAAACAAGCAGGAAATCCATCTGGCCCAGGGGCTTTCTCCCCATCAAATCCAAACAGGGTAGTTCTGACTTCCTCAGCTATAACAGGAGAGCATAACTCCTCACTTTGCTCAGGTAGTAATATTTTAATAAGAATTTTCTTGATTTGTTCAACTTCTGGAGGAGCAACTTCAGTATCACGTTCCCCCAACAGTTTCCTATAGAATCTCTCTGCTATCCCAGCCATACCATCTGTGTCTGTTACCCTCTGACCATCTTCATCAATTAAAGATCTTATCATATTCCACTTTTTTCGACTCTTGACTAAGTTATGGAAGTAAGGAGTATTCGAATCTCCCTCTTTGAGCCATAGTTCCCTAGATTTCTGGCGAAAAAATGACTCTTCAGCCTCTCTTAGCACTCTAGCCTCTTTAGCAAGTATAATCTCCTCACCAAAAGAGCTAGGTGAAGGGTGTTTTAAAGCCTCCGCCTGTGCAATCAACAGTTCAGACTCCTTCAAACGAGTCCTTTCACTAAGGTCAGAATATTCATCCTTATTCAACTTCTTGAGCAGACCCTTAAGAATTTTCAACTTTTTGCAAACACGGACTAAAGGTGATCCATCTACATGCACCAGCCATGCTTCCTTTACTAAGTCCATAAATCGAGGGTGCTTGATCCAGAACTTGAAGAATTTGAAAAGTTTTGGCAATGATTTAATAGAACTATCAGAATTTAACAGAATTGGGCAATGATCCGACACTGAGGGGTCCAACAGATCAACAG